AGTTTAATGGGATGAGAAATGTGTGGAAAGACGGCAAAGTTGTTTCTTGGGGGAGTGGATCCCAAGTCCCTTGTATAAGATTTGATAAATACGTAACTCTCAACGCAGATTCAGTTGTTGGATCATCTCAAGGTTGATGAACAGTATCAGAAAAAAGAAAGAAGAGGCAAGAGGGTTTTCTGGGTAAACCCATTTGTGGGGGTGCTGAAAGTGCACTGCTCACACAGATTCCTGGTTTCCATGGTACTCTTCCTTCCAAGCACTATGCTGGGTAAGTGTCCTTGGCAATATTTGTGTGTTGTAATATTTTTTTGAAATTGTTTATTTGATGGGTTATCATGCTAACATTTTTATTCAAATGGATTTATAATGTATGGGTATGTGACAATTGATGAAAGTCATGGGAAGAAATTGTATTACTACTTTGTTGTTTCTGAAAGAAATCCAACAGAGGATCCAGTAGTTCTGTGGCTCAATGGTGGACCAGGATGCTCGAGCTTGGATGGGTTTGTCTATGAACACGGTATTGATTTGGTTCTTTAAATAATAAGCTTAAAAGCGTGGTTAGTAACCACACTTTTCAACTCATTATTTTTTTATTTAAAACGGGATCACTGATCCCGCTTTTGTTAAAAAACGGGATTGTTAAATACGTTTTTTAATAAAAGCGAAATTATTGATTTCGCTTTTAAAAAATGTCATAGTTTGGTAAATAAGTTTAAAAATATCGTATTTTGTATTAAAATTCCAAAATAACTGTATTGTGGTAATAAATTCTATTACGGTTATGGTATTAAGGGATGAGATTAGTGAAGGAATATGATTTAGGGTGGACATACTTTAACTATAAATTTTACTTTGTCCTCTAATAGATAAAAATAATGTGATATATTTATATTTTTTTACATCATAATTGATGTTTAAAAATTTATTAAACATAAAAGACCTAAGGCCCATATATATATTTTATATAAACAAAAAATAACTAAAATCATTAACCTAACTTAGACAAGAATAGTATTATAAATCACATTGTACTATCTAATCAAACAGATTTTGAAGAAAAATGAAGGAATATACTAATTTTCATAAAAGGATTAGACTTGGGGTTAGTTTTCTGAAATAATAAAAAATGACCAATAACTGTCTACTAATAAGTAAACAAAACAACAAGTGGATCCCACTAAAACAAATAACCACTTAGTTATGTAATAAATAACAATTTTCATAATACGAAGTGTGCCCTACATTTTCTTATTGGATGATTATACAAAATATTTACTCCTAATTGATAGCTTAACAAACCAAAAAATTATGATGTGTCTAACTTCTTTGACTTAATTAATTTTGTTTTATCTAATTCATTAGGGTGGATCCAATTAAAATTATCCAAAAAATATATAAAACACATATAAAAAAATTATTTTTTTCAGAGTGGCCTAAGCCTATCCTGGCTTTAGGGTGCAACTTGAACAAGTCAATCCGAATTCAACCCAGGCTCAACCCAAAAAAATGACTTGGACCAGGGATTTTAATATTTGGATTGAGCTTGGGTCGAAAAACGCCAACCCGAATTAAATTCGGGCAGTGTTTTGGTTGAGTACTTGGATTACCGGGCTCAACCCGAACCCGATTTATATATATGTGAAGCATAATAATTAGGGTTCATCATTTTTTTCTTTTCAAGTAGTGTTACATGAACTTAAAAGTAGATTTAATAATCACAACCATTGAATAGGTAATGAGACTCAATAAATGTTGGGACCAATAAAAAAATCAATGGTTGTAATTATCAAGTTTACTTTTTAAGTTTAATTTTTAAATTCATGTAATATTGCTCTTATTTTTCAGCGCCTCCCTTAGTCCCTCGTTCAATCTCCCTCACTCTCTAGCTCAGCCTCTCGCTTAATCTCTCTCATTCTCTCACTCATTCCTCCGCCATTTTCTTAGTCTCTCACTTCCTCTATCACTCTCAACCTCTCTGCTTTGTGACTACTATTGATCGGTTGTTGTTGCTGTTGATTTGTGCCATTCTGTCTGCTTTTCTGTTGTTGATCTGCGTTGGAAATTAGGGCTATGTTGATCGGGTTTGAGAAGTTAAAAACAAAGCATACTGATTTGCTTTGAGAAATTGGGGGTTCGCCTTCAACTATTTCTCTTTCTCGGACTGAAAATGGGATCAATATATATATATATATATATATATATATATACACACACACACACACACAAGTATATTTGTATGTATGTATGACTATATGAGATTAAAATTAATTTTGTTGTTAGAAAAAACCGTTTGGTTTGTCTTTTTTCAATTGGTTAATTTTGAAGTTTATACAGAAGGTCCGTGGGTTAATAAAATGAATCTTGTTACTCAAAAAAAAAAAATGAAATGAATCTTATTACTGTGGGTTGTGATTACTTATTGAAGTTTCATCTTATTTGGTTGACGTAAAAACCTTAACCAAAATTCAACTCGAATTTTAACCTAAAATTAATCTAAATTAAGTAACTCAAATTTAACCCGAGCCCATTTGAATTCAGCTTGAGTAGTACTCGAGTTGAGGTCGGGTTAAGATTAGTATTAGGATTGAAAATTATATATCTAGAGTTGGACTAGGGTTGACTCCTCAACCTGTTCAACCCGCCTGAGTTGCATCCTTACCCTAGCTCTTACCTCCCTCTGCCACCGGATGAGATTAAAACTATACTAGTCCAACAATCACTAAGGATATATTTGGATCGCAAGTTAAAGGAGAATAACTCTGGTAGGATAGTATAAAAAAGTATGTGGAATCTATATATTCCACGTTTAGTAAGTAAAAAATGCATCAAAAATCTTATTCAAATTTTATCCCAACTCGATTTGAAACATTAAATTTAACCAATCGACATGGGTTAAATAAAATCCAAGGGGGACTCGGATTTTTTGGTTAAACAGGATAACTAATTCAAATAACTGAATTCAACCCCAACCCGATTTATATATATATGAAGCATAATAATTAGGGTTCATCATTTTTTTCTTTTCAAGTAGTGTTACATGAACTTAAAAGTAGATTTAATAATCACAACCATTGAATAGGTAATGAGACTCAATAAATGTTGGGACCAATAAAAAAATCAATGGTTGTAATTATCAAGTTTACTTTTTAAGTTTAATTTTTAAATTCATGTAATATTGCTCTTATTTTTCAGCGCCTCCCTTAGTCCCTCGTTCAATCTCCCTCACTCTCTAGCTCAGCCTCTCGCTTAATCTCTCTCATTCTCTCACTCATTCCTCCGCCATTTTCTTAGTCTCTCACTTCCTCTATCACTCTCAACCTCTCTGCTTTGTGACTACTATTGATCGGTTGTTGTTGCTGTTGATTTGTGCCATTCTGTCTGCTTTTCTGTTGTTGATCTGCGTTGGAAATTAGGGCTATGTTGATCGGGTTTGAGAAGTTAAAAACAAAGCATACTGATTTGCTTTGAGAAATTGGGGGTTCGCCTTCAACTATTTCTCTTTCTCGGACTGAAAATGGGATCAATATATATATATATATATATATATATATATATANTGAAAGGGTTGATGGAATTTAAGGCTCACCCTCTGCTATAAATTGAGAGGTAGTCCTTGTAATCACCTGTCCCTATACAGTAAAAAATAGTTAAGAGAAAAGAACTAGGGAGAGCTATGAAAAAACATCTTCTCTCCCCTCTGGTGTTCATACTACTCCTTCTAATCCCTCGTGACACTCATCAATATGCCTGCGACGAGACCAACCCAAGCACCAGCGACAACCCCTTCTGTAACACATCTTTACCTTATGCAGACCGAGCCAAAGACCTCGTGTCACGCCTCACCCTCCAAGAAAAGGTGCAACAGCTAGTTAATGGTGCCAGAGGCATTTCCAGGCTAGGCGTGCCCGCCTATGAATGGTGGTCCGAGGCACTGCATGGAGTGTCAAACACTGGGCCTGGAGTACATTTTAATGCAACAGTGCCCGGAGCGACCAGTTTTCCAGCAGTCATTCTTTCGGCTGCCAGTTTTAATGCTTCTTTATGGCTCGAGCTGGGACGGGTGGTGTCAACCGAGGCTCGAGCCATGTACAATGGTGGTCTTGCTGGCTTGACATTTTGGAGTCCAAATGTGAATGTGTTTAGGGACCCCAGATGGGGGAGGGGTCAGGAGACCCCTGGAGAGGACCCTCTGGTGGTTTCAACATATGCTGTGAACTATGTCAAAGGTTTGCAAGAGATTGGTGATGAGCAGGGGAACTCTAGTAGTACTGATCAGAGGCTCAAGGTTGCAAGTTGTTGTAAGCACTATACTGCTTATGATATTGATAACTGGAAAGGTGTTGATCGATTTCACTTTGATGCACAGGTAAGCTTGAGAATTTCATAATTAAATATAATTTTTGTAAGACAATACAAATGTCACCCAATTCCGAGATAACTTAAGTGGTACGAGGGATGAGCGAAAAATTTAAACGTCTTAAATTTGAATCTTGGGCCAAGTAATGAGGGATTTATCTCTCATAAATATCCTACTCTTGGCGTGGATAACCTATTTTTGATTGGACCGGGGAGATTAGTCGAGGTGTGTATAAATTGACCCGGACACCCCTGACCGTTGAAAAAAAAAAAAAAACAAATCTCACCCGATCCGCTAACATGTTTATTAAACAAAAATGATTNCAGCGAAAAATTTAAACGTCTTAAATTTGAATCTTGGGCCAAGTAATGAGGGATTTACCTCTCATAAATATCATAGTCTTGGCGTAGATAACCTATTTTTGATTGGACCGGGGAGATTAATCGAGGTGTGCATAAATTCACCCGGACATCCCTGACCGTTGAAAAAAAAAAAAAAAAAAATCTCACCCGATCCGCTAACATGTTTATTAAACAAAAATGATTAGTGCCAAATATGAATAACACTATTTTGACACCATAAACCTGCTTAACAAGTATTGTATGGAGGAAGTATTTAATTTAATTTATTTATTTATCTGATATTATATGAATCCTTATAAAATTAGTGAAATTTTTTTTTGTGTTTTGCTAGTATGTGGACAAACAAGAAGTTTAGTTTATGGGTACCTATGGGTGGTGGGTTCAGTTGAGAGAGAGAAATTCTAATGTCGGATTTTTCGTCTAGGGGTGATGCAAGTCTAATTCNGGAAGTATTTAATTTTTTTATTTATTTATCTGATATTATATGAATCCTTATAAAATTAGTGAATTTTTTTTTGTGTTTTGCTAGTATGTGGACAAACAAGAAGTTTAGTTTATGGGTACCTATGGGTGGTGGGTTCAGTTGAGAGAGAGAAATTCTAATGTCGGGTTTTTCGTCTAGGGGTGATGCAAGTCTAATTCGTACTGGTTAGAGTTAGTGTCAGGTTATATGACATGATTAACTAACTAGATGAGTAAGTTTAAAATAGACTAATATAGAATACGATCACAATTCACAACATTTTACAACGATACATTACTCAATTTTCACCAATAATGACAATTGGTGGAAATTGTTGGGTTATTTTANCAGAACACGATCACAATTCACAACATTTTACAACGGTACATTACTCAATTTTCACCAATAATGACAATTGGTGGAAATTGTTGGGTTATTTTAGGTAACACCACAGGATATGGAGGATACTTTTCAGCCACCATTCAAGAGCTGTGTAGAGGAGGGGCATGTCAGCAGTGTGATGTGTTCATACAACAGGGTGAATGGAATTCCCACCTGTGCTGACCCGGATTTGCTCAAAGGGACAATCAGAGGCCAGTGGGGTCTAGATGGGTTTGTTTCTCTCCCTTAAATTCAAGCTTCTATGCCTATTTTGGATTGCTTCCCTCCTGTAATTGTTCCCACTAGGCTTGTCATATGTGTCGAGTGGGACAGTGTTGTGTCAGATGTATAAAAAAATATTCTATTCATTCTCAATTCGTTTATTAATTCGTCTCTAACGAGTTGTGTTATATCGGATTCGTGCAGTGTATGAACTGTGTATAATCNCTTAATGGATTCGTATAAAAAAATATTATATCCATTCTCAATTCGTTTATTAATTCGTTTCTAACGAGCTGTGTCATATCGGATTCGTGCAGTGTATGAACTGTGTATAACCGATATATACACAAATCGTGTCGTGTATTTTTTTTGATTGGCTTCACCCATACCTGATTCGNGTATAAAAAAATATTCTATTCATTCTCAATTCGTTTATTAATTCGTCTCTAACGAGTTGTGTTATATCGGATTCGTGCAGTGTATGAACTGTGTATAATCGATATATACACAAATCGTGTCGTGTATTTTTTTTGATTGGCTTCACCCATACCTGATTCGTTTATTAATCGTCTCGTGTCGAGTTTACTTATTTACCAAATAGGTAACTTAAAAGAGAACTAAACCCTCTAATTTTGTGTTGTATTCGTGTCGTGTTAATAAATCGTGTCATATATTGACATCCTAGTTCCCACACCATGGTTTTGATTGGCAGTGCTTTGTTTTCTTATGTAAATGCTTTATCCTTCTGATGTTNGAAATAGGTAACTTAAAAGAGAACCAAACCCTCTAATTTTGTGTTGTATTCGTGTCGTGTTAATAAATCGTGTCATATATTGACACCCTAGTTCCCACACCGTGGTTTTGATTGGCAGTGCTTTGTTTTCTTATGTAAATGCTTTATCCTTCTGATGTTAGGTGCCCAAAAAGAACCATGTGGTAGGAAGTGTAGCATCCCCTGTTATGTAGAGTGATATGTCAATGATTCAGTTAATGGAGATGTCGTAGTATTGGTTAGAGATTCAAGTTATAAAACGATGTGGCAGAATAGTATTTGGGCATATGTTGAGAGCCGATGGCGATGACTTGGCCAAGTCGATTGAGATGTGACCGAGTCACACACGAGTCTGGTAAGAATTATGGATTTATAGAACGTGGAATGATATCCGAAAGAAAGGTCGATCGAATACAACTCAAGTACCGAGTTGTATCATATTCGGTCGATTCTTTGCATCATGATGACGTTTAGGAATTAAGCAAACTAATAATTACTTGGTGGACATGCTTATATTTTCTGCCTTGCCACAGGTACATTGTTTCTGATTGTGACTCCATTGAGGTTTACTACGACTCTATACATTACACTGCCACACCTGAGGATGCTGTAGCCCTTGCCTTAAAAGCAGGTAATCTTTAATTAGCTTGAACAATTTCAAAGCCATCATAAGGTTAAAACTTTCCCAATAATCATGCAGGTTTGAACATGAATTGTGGGGATTTTCTTAGCAAATACACAGAAAATGCAGTAAACTTGCAGAAAGTTGATGAGTCGATTGTAGATCAGGCACTGTTATACAACTACATAGTACTAATGAGACTAGGATTCTTTGATGGAGACCCAAAAATGCTCCCATTCGGAAAACTTGGCCCGTCCGATGTATGCACCGATGATCATCAACTGTTGGCAGTTGAAGCAGCAAAACAAGGAATAGTTTTGCTAGACAACAATGGTGTCCTTCCTCTGTCTCCTAACAGTACAAAAAATTTAGCCATTATTGGACCAAATGGTAATGCCACTGAAGCTATGCTGAGCATCTATGCTGGCGTGCCTTGCCAATACACCACCCCTTTACAAGGCTTGCAAAAGTATGTCTCGACGGTCACATATGAGCCGGGGTGTGTCAGTGTTGGCTGCGCTGATGGTAGCAGAATTGAGGCGGCAGCTAAGGTGGCTGCGGCCGCTGATGCGGTGGTGGTGGTGGTGGGGCTTGATCAATCAATTGAGAGAGAGAGTTTGGATAGGGTGAACTTGACATTGCCTGGATTTCAAGAGGAGCTTGTGATGGAAGTGGCTAATGCTACTAATAAATCTGTGGTGCTAGTTGTTATGTCAGCTAGTCCAATTGACATTTCATTTGCCAAGAACAATAGCAACATTGGGGCAATTTTGTGGGTTGGCTATCCTGGCCAAGCTGGAGGGGATGCCATAGCTCAAGTTTTATTTGGAGACTACAATCCAGGTTCTCTCTCTCTCTCTCTCTCTCTCTCACACCATGCTTTTTTTTTTTTATTCAATGGTCCGAAGAGTGTTCAGATCAACTTATGTGCACCTCTACTAATTCATTTCCCATTCTGATCAAAGACAGGTCATCCATGTCAGGACTAAGATATTCATGAGAGATAAATCTTTTATAACCTGATCCCNCTTTCCCATCCTGATCAAAGACAGGTCATCCATGTCGGGACTAAGATATTCATGAGAGATAAATCTTTTATAACCTGACCCCAATAAATTGTCAAGATTCAATTTTTGAATGTCCATTGGAATTTACACACATCGTGTCCTTGCACATTTCATGTAACATTCAGGAGCACTAGTGTTACTTTTTGTAATGACCCGAACTTACGTGTACAATATTTGTATGCTTTGAACCAAATTCGAATGATTTTAAAATGTATTGTATAATCAAAGTCTAAACCTTAAACCCATCTAGCTTCGTCTTCCTTTGATGCCTAGTCATTATGNGACAGTCATCAAATCCTAAAAAGTCCAACGATAGATGAGTTTGTGTTGAATAGAAAAGAGTATTTTCTTAGATCTCTGATCAAGTCCAACTCTACCATCTAAACACACCCTAAGAGTAATGTTATGCTAGCTACCCAGCTTGTATTCTAAAAAACTTATTTCAAATGTAATGTTATGCTAGCTACCCAGCTTGTATTCTAAAAAACTTATTTCAAATGATTTGGCACCTTCACGCATCACACTGTGGGTCCCAATAAATTAGTTTTTTCTTAAAATATAAGGTGTGCGAAAGTGTCAACTCATTTGTCCTGAATTTTTTAGGATACAATTTGGGTAGTATAGCATTACTTCGATCACTAAATAATAAGATTAGTTTAAATTATAATGTTCGGTTCTAATGACATTGTTAATATCAATCCAATGCTAAAATATCATCTAACATCCCACATCAATATAAACCAATACCATGAAATAGAATGCGACATGATTAGTATTAGTATCCAAAATAACAAGAATGTCCTTCTGAGTTAGAGATTTTTGCGTTGATGTAGGGTGTTTTTGCCTTTTTCAACTTAATACCACACATTAATCCTCATCCAAATATGACTTTAATATTACAACAATGGATCTACTCCTTATCCAAATCTTGATCTAATATAATAGAGATAGGATAACATGGTCCATGGATTGGCTATGTATAATGACACAACATACACATTTTTTTTTTAATTTTATGCCTTCAAACACAAGCAATTAATAATAATCTTCTATTTGATCTATCGTTTCACTTATTTTTCAATCGAGTAATTCATCGTTTTACTTGGTTATCATCTATTTTATTCCAAATCCCTTCATTTTAATACATTAATCCAAAACGTAACGTAAGAAGGTCTCTTCTATGATGCAAGTGTGACCTGACAATTTCTTCCATTGGGTTTGAGATTCCTTAGAGCAATATTCCATGAGTGAGTAGTGGAGGATCCACCATATTAGATCAGTTTAAGTGAATCCTTTAAAGTAACTCCGATTCAAACGTAAATGTGCAGTAGAAGAACAACTTACAGAAATTAAGACAGCTTTGACTGGATAAAACGAGATTATAGCATCAGTAGGTAGTTAATAACCCCTTGAGAGAGACCATGCATGAGAGTCTCCTTGTAGACTGTCCGGTTTGATCCATAACTATTAATTCAAAATGACAGTCCGTCATCATAAAACCATAGTCCATCCCCTTGCTTGATAACCACATGAAAGTCAAGAACGACATTAAATACATACAATTTACCACTAAACTATGGATTGGGATAGTATTAAAAAAGCAACCAAGCAAATGTAGAGCCCAAATATGTATTTTCTTAGTGGAGTACTCCCTAATGCATTCATGTGTGACATAGTTGCCTTAGCGACCTTCCTTAGCGTGCTGTGTTTGCATTTTCTTCCAAGGCACCCTCTCATCTGTGTGTGTACGTGAAAGAGAGAGTGAGAGAGAGAGTCCATGGCTTGCTTGAGCCGAATTCTGTTGCTTTACAACAATAACCTTGTTGCTTGGTAAGTGGGATTTACAGTAGACTCACATAATGTTAAAAATGTCTGTGTAGAATCCTAATAGGGGACCTAAGTAACTATAATAATGGACCAGATCGAGTAGAAATATAAATTCATAGTGAAGTGAATAATTGAAATTAAGACATTAAGTTTTTTTTTTGATTCAATAGTTGGGGGTGCTCGGGTCAATTTACGTTCACCTTAACTACTCTCCTTTCCGGTCCAATCAAAGAAAGACTATCCACGTCTAGATTACGCCTGGATTAAGGTATTCACGAGGGATAAAACTCTCGTGGCCTGTCAAAAAATATTAAGTTTTTCTCCCCAAAAAAAAAAAAGTTAACTTCTTGCTATTACTAAAAGTTGAAAGGGTTGATGGAATTTAAGGCTCACCCTCTGCTATAAATTGAGAGGTAGTCCTTGTAATCACCTGTCCCTATACAGTAAAAAATAGTTAAGAGAAAAGAACTAGGGAGAGCTATGAAAAAACATCTTCCCTCCCCTCTGGTGTTCATACTACTCCTTCTAATCCCTCGTGACACTCATCAATATGCCTGCGACGAGACCAACCCAAGCACCAGCGACAACCCCTTCTGTAACACATCTTTACCTTATGCAGACCGAGCCAAAGACCTCGTGTCACGCCTCACCCTCCAAGAAAAGGTGCAACAGCTAGTTAATGGTGCCAGAGGCATTTCCAGGCTAGGCGTGCCCGCCTATGAATGGTGGTCCGAGGCACTGCATGGAGTGTCAAACACTGGGCCTGGAGTACATTTTAATGCAACAGTGCCCGGAGCGACCAGTTTTCCAGCAGTCATTCTTTCGGCTGCCAGTTTTAATGCTTCTTTATGGCTCGAGCTGGGACGGGTGGTGTCAACCGAGGCTCGAGCCATGTACAATGGTGGTCTTGCTGGCTTGACATTTTGGAGTCCAAATGTGAATGTGTTTAGGGACCCCAGATGGGGGAGGGGTCAGGAGACCCCTGGAGAGGACCCTCTGGTGGTTTCAACATATGCTGTGAACTATGTCAAAGGTTTGCAAGAGATTGGTGATGAGCAGGGGAACTCTAGTAGTACTGATCAGAGGCTCAAGGTTGCAAGTTGTTGTAAGCACTATACTGCTTATGATATTGATAACTGGAAAGGTGTTGATCGATTTCACTTTGATGCACAGGTAAGCTTGAGAATTTCATAATTAAATATAATTTTTGTAAGACAATACAAATGTCACCCAATTCCGAGATAACTTAAGTGGTACGAGGGATGAGCGAAAAATTTAAACGTCTTAAATTTGAATCTTGGGCCAAGTAATGAGGGATTTATCTCTCATAAATATCCTACTCTTGGCGTGGATAACCTATTTTTGATTGGACCGGGGAGATTAGTCGAGGTGTGTATAAATTGACCCGGACACCCCTGACCGTTGAAAAAAAAAAAAAAACAAATCTCACCCGATCCGCTAACATGTTTATTAAACAAAAATGATTAGTGCCAAATATGAATAACACTATTTTGACACCATAAACCTGCTTAACAAGTATTGTATGGGAAGTATTTAATTTTTTTATTTATTTATCTGATATTATATGAATCCTTATAAAATTAGTGAATTTTTTTTTGTGTTTTGCTAGTATGTGGACAAACAAGAAGTTTAGTTTATGGGTACCTATGGGTGGTGGGTTCAGTTGAGAGAGAGAAATTCTAATGTCGGATTTTTCGTCTAGGGGTGATGCAAGTCTAATTCGTACTGGTTAGAGTTAGTGTCAGGTTATATGACATGATTAACTAACTAGATGAGTAAGTTTAAAATAGACTAATATAGAATACGATCACAATTCACAACATTTTACAACGATACATTACTCAATTTTCACCAATAATGACAATTGGTGGAAATTGTTGGGTTATTTTAGGTAACACCACAGGATATGGAGGATACTTTTCAGCCACCATTCAAGAGCTGTGTAGAGGAGGGGCATGTCAGCAGTGTGATGTGTTCATACAACAGGGTGAATGGAATTCCCACCTGTGCTGACCCGGATTTGCTCAAAGGGACAATCAGAGGCCAGTGGGGTCTAGATGGGTTTGTTTCTCTCCCTTAAATTCAAGCTTCTATGCCTATTTTGGATTGCTTCCCTCCTGTAATTGTTCCCACTAGGCTTGTCATATGTGTCGAGTGGGACAGTGTTGTGTCAGATGTATAAAAAAATATTCTATTCATTCTCAATTCGTTTATTAATTCGTCTCTAACGAGTTGTGTTATATCGGATTCGTGCAGTGTATGAACTGTGTATAATCGATATATACACAAATCGTGTCGTGTATTTTTTTTGATTGGCTTCACCCATACCTGATTCGTTTATTAATCGTCTCGTGTCGAGTTTACTTATTTACCAAATAGGTAACTTAAAAGAGAACTAAACCCTCTAATTTTGTGTTGTATTCGTGTCGTGTTAATAAATCGTGTCATATATTGACATCCTAGTTCCCACACCATGGTTTTGATTGGCAGTGCTTTGTTTTCTTATGTAAATGCTTTATCCTTCTGATGTTAGGTGCCCAAAAAGAACCATGTGGTAGGAAGTGTAGCATCCCCTGTTATGTAGAGTGATATGTCAATGATTCAGTTAATGGAGATGTCGTAGTATTGGTTAGAGATTCAAGTTATAAAACGATGTGGCAGAATAGTATTTGGGCATATGTTGAGAGCCGATGGCGATGACTTGGCCAAGTCGATTGAGATGTGACCGAGTCACACACGAGTCTGGTAAGAATTATGGATTTATAGAACGTGGAATGATATCCGAAAGAAAGGTCGATCGAATACAACTCAAGTACCGAGTTGTATCATATTCGGTCGATTCTTTGCATCATGATGACGTTTAGGAATTAAGCAAACTAATAATTACTTGGTGGACATGCTTATATTTTCTGCCTTGCCACAGGTACATTGTTTCTGATTGTGACTCCATTGAGGTTTACTACGACTCTATACATTACACTGCCACACCTGAGGATGCTGTAGCCCTTGCCTTAAAAGCAGGTAATCTTTAATTAGCTTGAACAATTTCAAAGCCATCATAAGGTTAAAACTTTCCCAATAATCATGCAGGTTTGAACATGAATTGTGGGGATTTTCTTAGCAAATACACAGAAAATGCAGTAAACTTGCAGAAAGTTGATGAGTCGATTGTAGATCAGGCACTGTTATACAACTACATAGTACTAATGAGACTAGGATTCTTTGATGGAGACCCAAAAATGCTCCCATTCGGAAAACTTGGCCCGTCCGATGTATGCACCGATGATCATCAACTGTTGGCAGTTGAAGCAGCAAAACAAGGAATAGTTTTGCTAGACAACAATGGTGTCCTTCCTCTGTCTCCTAACAGTACAAAAAATTTAGCCATTATTGGACCAAATGGTAATGCCACTGAAGCTATGCTGAGCATCTATGCTGGCGTGCCTTGCCAATACACCACCCCTTTACAAGGCTTGCAAAAGTATGTCTCGACGGTCACATATGAGCCGGGGTGTGTCAGTGTTGGCTGCGCTGATGGTAGCAGAATTGAGGCGGCAGCTAAGGTGGCTGCGGCCGCTGATGCGGTGGTGGTGGTGGTGGGGCTTGATCAATCAATTGAGAGAGAGAGTTTGGATAGGGTGAACTTGACATTGCCTGGATTTCAAGAGGAGCTTGTGATGGAAGTGGCTAATGCTACTAATAAATCTGTGGTGCTAGTTGTTATGTCAGCTAGTCCAATTGACATTTCATTTGCCAAGAACAATAGCAACATTGGGGCAATTTTGTGGGTTGGCTATCCTGGCCAAGCTGGAGGGGATGCCATAGCTCAAGTTTTATTTGGAGACTACAATCCAGGTTCTCTCTCTCTCTCTCTCTCTCTCTCACACCATGCTTTTTTTTTTTTATTCAATGGTCCGAAGAGTGTTCAGATCAACTTATGTGCACCTCTACTAATTCATTTCCCATTCTGATCAAAGACAGGTCATCCATGTCAGGACTAAGATATTCATGAGAGATAAATCTTTTATAACCTGATCCCAATAAATTGTCAAGATTCAAATTTTGAATGTCCATTGGGATTTACACACATCGTGTCCTTGCACATTTCATGTAACATTCAGGAGCACTAGTGTTACTTTTTGTAATGACCCGAACTTACGTGTACAATATTTGTATGCTTTGAACCAAATTCGAATGATTTTAAAATGTATTGTATAATCAAAGTCTAAACCTTAAACCCATCTAGCTTCGTCTTCCTTTGATGCCTAGTCATTATGATGCCACAATCCACTGGTAGATTGATAAATTACATGTGATAACAGGTGGGAGGTCCCCTTTTACTTGGTACCCACAAGAATACGCAGATCAAGTCTCAATGACAGACATGAACATGAGAGCCAACGCCACTCGGAACTTCCCAGGACGAACCTATCGATTCTACACTGGAAAATCAATCTATGAGTTTGGCCATGGTTTAAGTTACTCAACATTTTCAAAATTCATAATATCTGCCCCTTCCACCATACTCATAAAGCCAATCACCACCACCACCCATCAGCCACCAAACACTCTCACTTCCACCACCACCAACGGCCAGGCCATCAATATCTCGACGATAAACTGCCAGAATTTACAGTTCCAAGTTAATGTCGGAGTGAAGAACCATGGGGAAATCGATGGACCACACGTCGTGCTGGTGTTTTGGAAGCCGGCAAGCTCGCAAGGAGTGACCGGAATACCAAATGTGCAGCTGGTGGGGTTTGAGAGGGTGGTGGTGAAGAGAGAGAAGACGGAGATGGTGACGGTGGAGTTGGATGTTTGCAAGGATTTGAGCGTTGCTGATGGAGATGGGAAGAGGAAGTTGATAACTGGGCAGCATGCACTTGTGATTGGTTCTTCTAGTGAGCGCCAAGTGAAGCACCATTTCAATATTAGGGTTGCAAATAGTNATAATGACACAACATACACATTTTTTTTTTAATTTTATGCCTTCAAACACAAGCAATTAATAATAATCTTCTATTTGATCTATCGTTTCACTTATTTTTCAATCGAGTAATTCATCGTTTTACTTGGTTATCATCTATTTTATTCCAAATCCCTTCATTTTAATACATTAATCCAAAACGTAACGTAAGAAGGTCTCTTCTATGATGCAAGTGTGACCTGAGAATTTCTTCCATTGGGTTTGAGATTCCTTAGAGCAATATTCCATGAGTGAGTAGTGGAGGATCCACCATATTAGATCAGTTTAAGTGAATCCTTTAAAGTAACTCCGATTCAAACGTAAATGTGCAGTAGAAGAACAACTTACAGAAATTAAGACAGCTTTGACTGGATAAAACGAGATTATAGCATCAGTAGGTAGTTAATAACCCCTTGAGAGAGACCATGCATGAGAGTCTCCTTGTAGACTGTCCGGTTTGATCCATAACTATTAATTCAAAATGACAGTCCGTCATCATAAAACCATAGTCCATCCCCTTGCTTGATAACCACATGAAAGTCAAGAACGACATTAAATACATACAATTTACCACTAAACNTGACTGAGAGGAGGGATGGCAATGGCTTCGTCTTTGTCATCGAGAGACAGAGAGAACTGAGAGGGGCGATGTCGATGGGGATGACTTCGTTTCGTCTTCAGTCTTTGGCATCGAGAGAGACAGAGAGAAAGATGGACTTTTATACTCAAAGCAAAAAAATTCATATTTTGTTGGTAAGGAGGATCGAAGCCAAGACCTCATTAAATTCCTTTATCAATCACGCGTTTTTTTTTTTGATACTTTCAAAACCTTTCTTTTGAATCTTTTCATATTTTAGCTGTGTTTTTAAAGCATAGCAATTAAAAAAAAATAAAAACATTCACCAAACATATTTTTTTTTACCATAAAATGAAAAAAAAACAAAACAAAAACCACCGATTACCAAACACTACCTAAATTTGCATTACAAAAGGAGAGAAAAATACTTTTTAAGTANCGACTGAGAGGGGGGATGACAATGGCTTCGTCTTTGTCATCGAGAGACAGAGAGAACTGAGAGGGGCGATGTCGATGGGGATGACTTTGTTTCGTCTTCAGTCTTTGGCATCGAGAGAGACAAAGAGAAAGATGGACTTTTATACTCAAAGCAAAAAAATTCATATTTTGTTGATAAGGAGGATCGAAGCCAAGATCTCATTAAATTCCTTTATCAATCGCGCATTTTTTTTTTTGATACTTTCAAAACCTTTCTTTTGAATCTTTTCATATTTTAGCCGTGTTTTTAAAACATAGCAATTAAAAAAAAATAAAAACATTTACCAAACATATTTTTTTTTTACCATAAAATAAAAAAAAACAAAACAAAAACCACCGGTTACCAAACACTACCTAAATTTGCATTACAAAAGGAGAGAAAAATACTTTTTAAGTAAAATGTTAATCATACAACTTATATTTGTAATAAATTCTAAAAAAAACCCTCATTTAAAGCGTTAGCTTAGAGCCTCCATTTACATTGACTCGGCCATATCGACAGTGATACCACATGCCAGGGATAAAGTGTTGACACCATTATATTCAATACTTTCTCCTATGGATGATTTAGCTTGTAGGGAGATAAAAGGAACCTAAAAGCCTTTAAAATATCCCTTATATTGTTAGTTTCATTTAATTAGCCTTTAAAATAAATTTTCAATTGATACTCTCCAACTTTTTAATTTAAATAACACATAATTTTTTATCCAATTTTTTTTAAAAAAAAAATAAGTGGAAAGGGAACATATGCCTCTCACTTAATTAATAAATGGAAATATTTTAGACAACTAACAAAATTTTTAATTATCCAAACACGTGTCTCCGTTTGATTATTCTATTTAGCCCCTTGTTTTAATTATTTTTCTCCTTTTAAATTCCCTCCTCTCCCAACAACCCCAACCAAAACAATTGGACCTATGTAGTAGGGTTAGGTGAAAGGTTCACTTGTTTCCATAGTATCTTAAGATTCATTTATTAGAGACTAAATAGGAGAAAACTAACACAACTCTAATAAGTCGTCAATTCAAAGGAGGAGGAGGGCTTGAGCACTTGAATCTAAAAGTGTGCTAAGTTGGTGAGATCCAACTGTAATGTTTAGCCCGTGATTGCTATCTACATGTCATTCAAACTCTAGATAAGTGACGACTCCATGGACAAATCTTCACGTGATTAAAATTACGAAGCTTCAATGCTAATCTTTGACCCAAATTTTTTTTTTTTAGCTAATCTCACACTTTCTATTTTAGTTTTATTTATAGTGATATTAAGGTTAATTTCATTTGTTTTAGTAAAACAAGGGGCGCCCCGTGCGTCTCATTATAATGTTACCACCCCCTCGTTGTCACCCCAACTCTACTGCTTTTGGAAAGTTATCTACTAGTGTTAAATTAAGAAGAATAAAATAAATTAATTTTTTAGTACTTAATGAGAGAAAGTTTTATAACCACTATCTTTCCTAAATTGATTGTTCTATAGAATGTGACTAAATGTTATTAAGATCTAAAAATTTAACTTAATTTACTGACTTATTAGTGTGATTTTATTATAATTGCTCGATTAACATCAAATTTCATAGTTTAATGAAGCACACGGTCAATCTAATGATTATAACAAATTTTTCATTGTAGCACATCTCTAAAAAAAATGATTATAATAAATTTGGTCAACAAATTAAGTCACAATAACATTGCTCGCAATATGTAATGAATACAAATTTAAATGAGAGAGCGTATGTGTGTGTGAGAGAGCGAGCGGAAACGGAGAGATGATTGGATAGAAACTTAGGACAGTTGATAAATTTTAAAGTTACCTTATTAATAAGAAGTTAATTTATTAAAAAATGGTCAATGGCATAACGGATAGAATTTTGAAACTCATCCAAGCTAATTACATTGCTATATTCATTTCGTGTTTAATCAATTATGTATCGATCCTTTTTTATTTCTCACAACTCTATCGAACTAAAACTAAACCTACAAATTTCGTGTCAATTTTACAAATCGTGTCTTACTCACCAAGTTTAGGTAAAATCCTACCCCTGGTTTTATGTGTATTTCTCGTACTTACTCTATTATGAGAGAAGGACTCTACGCGTAAAGCCGCCCAGTTTAAGGTTTGATTTGGTGATAAAAGCAGTCAATAACGACATACTCAATAGATTCACGCACGACATTTCATAAATGTCTAATAACTCTATTGGACAAAGTCAAATTTGCTGACTTTTGTGTTCCATGGCCATCATTCAAATTTACATAAACAGGCCTCTTTCAATTACAATTGACAAAAATGTATATTTTCTTTTTTACTATGCATCAAACTCTCAAGGTTTATAACATATTTATAAGCATTAGTTATAAAATTCTTCTACCAGAATTCATTCCATTCCGCTATGTTCTGTTGACCGATCCTTTAATTTTTGGGTCTAGTAAATATAAATGATTGAGATTATCAAGTCTACTTTTTAAGTTTATCTAGCATTATTCTTCGCAATATTGTATTTATTAACCAAAGTATCCACTTTTACCACAATAAACCTACTATGATATGAATATTCAAAAGACTAATTAAAAGAATTTAACTGAGATTCATTATATACAGATGGATCCTTATGAATATAAGAAGAGTGATTTATCATTAAAAAAAATTAAGCAAAATTCAAGGATAAGATCTGGATCCAAAGGTGATAGGCATACTAAGAATTTAACATAAGACGTTCGGAATTTATTTTGTGTTCAAAATTTGGGCTTTGTACCATTTTTTTTTATTTAATGGTTAAAGGTGTCTGCAATAATTTACACACACCTCGACTAATCTCCTTTTCAATTCGGTCATTGCATAACTTCGAATCACTTTCAAGTTAGTTACAGGAAACATATTGACCTTACTATATTTTCAAAGGTAATCGAGTTGATATAGTCTAGGAAGGACCTAACAGATTATTAAGCCTAGTGTTTAGTTTGCCTTTTTCCTCTTTAAAGGATATAAATGTCATTGACCATGTTGTTCATCTCTCTATCTCAATCACCATTATTGCTAGTATAAATGCACAGGTGTGACTTTGGGTCACATACCTTACAAACACAAATACTAGCAAAGATCAAAAGAAAACCACAAAGAAGAAAGAGGAAGAAGAAGCAACCATGGAAGGCTTAATCCCATTTCTCTTCCAAGCCCTCAAGAAACCGAGACCTCATAACCGTTACCGATCGTTTTCCGAAACCTCGACCCGTAGCTACCACTTGCTAGTTGGAGGAGACTCAGTGGAAGGCTCGTCTCACCGTCGAACCCGGTCGGAGTTTCAGCCACCAACCTTTGATGTATTGCAGCAGAATTCAGGCGTGGAATATTTGTCAAACTCAAAAAGCTTCAGCAGAGGTTCTGTGCTCTCTCCTGGAAATCCAAATGGCTTTAAGCAGATTGGTTCCAATGCTAATTACCAAGTGTCAAAGGGAACCAACTTGAATCGTCGACGATAAAATGAAGTTAGGAGCACGAGAATTCTGTCAGCATGAGTTTCAGGAATCCCATAATCCTCGAAACTATGAAATTTAAAAACTACTTCTAGAATTGTTTCATTGTGTCATTGTTTTATTTATGTAATTTTGGTCATACAAAAGTAAGAAAATGTGAACGATTTGCAACAAATGTTTCAGTAATATGTTGATATTATTTATTGTTTGTACCTGAATTTCAAATTTGTTTTTATTGTCTGCTCCTTTTCTCTAGATATGTGAATATCAATGTTGATGACTATTCTCTCACACCCAGACCTTTTGATCATTCTAGACAAAGTCAGCTTATCTGACATGGATTTGAGTTTAACCTTAATGAGTATGAATCGTAAACATTAACAGATGAATTCATTTGACCCATCAAATAAATAAATCAACAAACACCTGATTAAAGATGAGACGAATTCACTAAATCTACTTATACACAACATGGATTTTGTCATAGACGG